AACAAATATTTTCGCCACCCTGAGAATCCCACAAGCATTGTGGTAACTTTATAGTAGTTGATTATCCAAATGGGGCATTATTTATCTAACTGTTTTCTATTGCTGAATATTTAGGTTGTTTTCTACATATTTCACTCTCAAACATTGCATAACAGTCTTCTCAACACCACAGAAAGTTCCCGGCATATTGTTTCCTTAAATCCTGGGTACTTGGTGGTTATGTATTCAAAATAAATGGTACAAGAGAGTATTTTATGACTGGGGTTTGGGAAAAAAGAGGAAAAAGAAGATTCTTTAATGGTGAGTCCGTGTTTAAATGAACAAGCAAAGAGCCCCGCTGCAGATCCATTTCATCTATGGCACGTAAGTGAAATAACCAAGTGCTATACTTCTTAATGTACTTTATTTCAACGCATGTCGTTTACACAAGCACTCTTGGCCTTGCTGGATTGATTTCTGGCGACACACAGTTCCACATATAGTTTCACTTTACCCTTTGCCCATCAAAGGTAGAGGGCTCTCTTCCACAAAAGTTGATCAGAATCTATTCTTCATTAATATTATCAAGTTAGGAATTCAGGTAGGAAACTTATTTCACCTCTCACTTATTTAAGAACAAATCACTTAAATGCAGTGAAATCCAGATAAAGGGCTATGCTGAAAGCCCCTGGAAGACAAAGAAAGGCAGGCGCTTTGATGTTGTGGCTCCTGATAAACCGTGGGAAGGTGAGCAAGGCAGTGTTGAGATGTGCCGATGTGAAAGTGCTGGGCCCAGATAGAATCACTGGAAACAATAACTTTAGGAAACTGCTCTTAGAACTAAGGCCTACATGAGCAATAAGATGAGATCATGTCTCAGTTGAGGGAGTAGCAGAGGTAGCTGTTTCCAAATTAGCCTCTGGGAAGTCAATTACTGGAATTGGTATTTAGCACACAGGACATTAAGAGGTTTTTTTCTTTTTTGTATTTTTTTTGTTCCTTCTTTTGTATAAAAATGCAATATTGGCACTTGTAAAAACAGAAAGTCATATCATCTATCTATCTATCCATCCATCCATCCATCCATCCATCCATCCATCCATC